ACTATGCTCAATGACCTCAATAGTGTCTCCCAACGGATTGGTCTTAAGATGAACATGGACAAAACAAAGATCATGTTTAATGTCCATGTCACACCTATGCCGGTAGTTGTTGGGAGCACTAAGCTCGAAGTTGTTGACGAGTATGTTTACCTGGGACAAATAGTCCGACTAGGTAAGTCCAACTTCGACCGAGAGGTCAATCGACGGATTCAACTCGGTTGGGCAGCGTTCGGGAAATTACGGCACATCTTCTCGTCCGGCATACCTCAAAACCTCAAATCAAAATTGTTCAACCAGTGTGTGTTGCCAGTGATGACCTATGGACCTGAGACGTGGTCCTTCACTGCTGGCCGTACGAGGGAGCTCAATGTCACTCAGCGAGCTATGGAGAGGGCTATGTTCGGGGTTTATCTGCATGATAGACTTAAAAACGAGGATATCCGAAGTAGAACCTGAGTAACCGACATAGCCCAAAGGATTAGTTAGCTGAAGTGGCAATGGACTGGCCATATAGCTCCAAGAACCGACAACCGATGGCGAAGAAAGTGCTCGAGTACCGGCAGGTGAAGTATAGGCCGTTCCCCAACTAGAAGGAGTGAGGACCTGGTAAGACATGCAAAAAGTCAATGAATGCAGGTGGCTCTTACAATAATACAGCGCTAAATTCAAAACGCGTAAATAATATATTTTAAAAGTCAGGAATGCAATTTATTTTATCATCAAAATTAAATGACACGCTCATGAGGCGTGCACTTTTGGATTTTCCAAACTATTTTAAATTTTACACACGGGCTATAACTTCTCAAAATAATTTTAAAATTTTAAATGCCTGACCCATTTCTGCACTACACGTTGCAGTGCAAGCTTAATGTAAAGTAATAAATGTGGACGTGTACTGGCAAAAGTAATTGTGTTCTGTGATCTTGACGCAATGATAATTTTAGAGATGATTGTTTTTATACTTTGACATGACTTATTGACACAATTAATTGTAATTCTAGAAAAATTGTACTATCCTTCGTATCCTTCTTGTTTGTGGGCAATGTCGAATAAAGCTAAAACTTTGGAATACAGTTACAGTTAGAATGTTATGTGGCCGTAATAATATAAGAAAATGTAACTAACAAACTTAAAAGAATTTTAGCGTACGACACAGCTGTTAGGAATAGTAAACTCAAAGTTGTTGTTATAGATACACACCGAGATGTCGGATTGGAATTTCACAATTTTAAATTAGATGAAAAGGTCGACTGACGAATTAAACTTGTCTGTTTTCTTTTTCTCATCCAGTATACTATAGAATATTAAAATAAAAGTGCACAACCAGTGTGTCGACGCGTACTAAATCAGTAAAACGCCTGTGACAATGGGTCTACTTGAAGCTTTATTAACTAAAATTGTTAAAGAAGAAAGTAAAAACTCTTGATTGGCAAGAAAGAGCAGCGTAGGGGAAATCCCTTTATATCTATAAGAACATAGAAGCTGTGAAATATTAAAAATGCGGTGTGTGAGACGGAGACCACGAAATTATAAGCGATCTTTATAAAAGAGCTGAAACATAAAAGAAATAATTTATAATCTAATTTTTAAAATTTAATTTAAATACCTATTATACTGATATTCCGTTAAAATAATAAACAAGATAATCAACTTGAAATTAAATTATATGCAACACTAGCCATTATGTAAACAAATATAAAGAGAAATTGATAACAAGTATCTATCCATTATTTACAAGGTCGTGTATTTCATTGTTAGCTTTAAATTATTCCGTGCGATTTAATACAAAACATAATATAAAAAACGATAAAATAGTAATTTTTGCAGAAACTAAATATTGACTATTTTTTTTTTAAATAGGCCTACCAATACCGAAACAGTACCTTTTTAAAAATTTTGTCATTTTTTTCGGGATTGTATTGCAAATTCGCAGTAAAATCCGTTAAAAGTACCGAATATATCACGCTTTTAAGTATTTCATACATGTTACTAAACTAACTGGAGATTTTTAGAGACTTTATTTAATTCCTCTAAAAAGTAATAGGCTTGACGGATTGTTTAGCCTATGAAGCAGATACGAAAGTCCAACGAGTGGACTCTGTCTCCTAAAAAGCCTTCAGAATTGTTGTTATTTTAACTTACGGTCTTCAGCAGTATGGTACTGATGTGACCAGCGCTAGGTCTTTGGCTCAGATACACTCATACCTCATCAACTGCTACTAAATTAATAAATAGAAAAAGTATGATTCGCTGCTTGAGAGAGCTATTGAGAGCACCACATAAACTATCATATTTTAAAGACGTACAATCTCGTAATATAGCGAATCAGTACTGATCTTTGAGCGTATCTGCACTGGAAGTGGCCCTTTCCTGTTACGTAGTCATCCTGAAGAGCACGATATAATTCTTACCTCGGGTTGTTCTTAGTTTTCCTTGTCACGTTAAATTGTGGCAAAGACTGGCGCGATTAAAATCGTGCAACTGTTGACAACGGTTCTCTTCTTCTCGTTTGCTACAAGAACATGTCGAACAAGTAAAATAGATCACAACCTGTCGATAGCGGACGAATTCTTCGTCTTCTTTCTTTAACATCCCTACAAAATGCACTGCTGGATGTGGAGCTCTCCAGTTTTATATATAGGACGTCTAGTACTCTCGGGCTCAGCGCTATGTCGGTGTTCTCCGTGTTCGGTCTGGTTATATTACGTCTGTCGTAAACTAGTGGTTATATCACTATTTATAAGAAGTATGGACTCCGATAGATGGTAATACAAGAAGCTAGAAGTGCTACCACGAAGATACATATATAAACATACATAAACACTCACGCCTGTCATCCAGAGACTACGGACTTCCATTTGGCACGATTCTGACACACCTCTCTCGCCTCCTCCACATCACACCCATCCCATATACCCACGCATACATGCTCGTCTGTTAAGGGTACTCTCAATTTGGCTCATTTTCAATATATCGCCAATTTGGTCGATAAACTTTCGCTTACAGCGTCCCTTCCCGACTCTGTCGTTCACCTCTGCAACATAAATTTGCTTTGTCACTCTTTTCTCATTCATTTTTTCTACATGACCAAACCACCGAAGCATTCTTTTCGTAATCCTAGTCACAACAACATCTTGAAAACCACACTCTTCTGTTTACACATAATTTCTCACCCTGTCATTCACATCCTAAAATACTCTTTAATGACAGCATTTCCACAGCATTTATTCTACTTTCGTGCTTCTTCTGCCACACCCAACTTTCACTACCATATATTAAAGTAGAGACTAACACAGCATTGTGAATTACCACACGTGCCTTTTTCGACACATTCTGATTTTCCACAATAGAGTGTAGACCACGAAGATCTTTCTCGTGTATCCCCTTTTTACGACAAAAGATTTAATTTGGAGATGGATTCTCTTATGCCGCCATTACACGGTGCTTGTCTTATGGCCATAGAACATAGAAATGCAGAGGGGATCTTAAAAAATAATCCCAGACGCAAAAAGATAAAGTTTGACTGCTATGTGTGTCTGTCTATCTGTCTGTCTGTCTGTGGCACTCTTACACGGGTAACCCGATGTGGGTGCGATTTTTTTTCATTTAAAAGCATATTTTCTAGCGGTGGTTCTTGGGCATGCTCTATAAAAATCGAATAGAATAGAATAGAATCATTTTATTCAATATAAATTACAGTACATACTACTTATTGTAAGTCATTTTTAGTACTTTTACCACTGATTCACAGAAAAACCTCTGTCCTGGGAAGAACCAACAAGAAATCCAGCGGCTTTTTTTAAAGCACAATTTACAATATAATAGTTTATACAATTATTATGAAAACGTTTTGAAACAGCATGGTAGCGATCACCTCATTCCCAGGGGTTCTTATCCGTCATGTATTCTGTAGTAGTGTGGTAACCCTTACTAGACAATTTTTGCTTAACAAATAATTTAAACCTTTTGACAGATAAGTTCTGCATATTTTCTGGGACTTTGTTGTAAAAGCGTATACATTGCCTCATGAAGGAATTACTGACTCTTTGGAGTCAAGTAACTGGTATAACTAACTTGTGGTTGTTCCAAGTATTATCGGTTCAGCCGTTTGAAGGTCATCAGCTATTTTTTCGGGGATTTTGAAATTTTGAATAACTCCCACGATTTTATTAAGTCACTTTCTTTTTTGTCTGTCTGTCGTTTCCGATGTGCTAGAGACTCGAAATTTTGAACATAGCTCAGAATGTGAGAATATGAAAAAAGTCGTGGTTAATTTTTTTTAGTACAATATTTTACAAAAAAAAAATACTTGTTCGTAGAGGAATAGGTTAATGGATATTTATTCTTTCAAATCGGTTTTCTTTAATATATTATGACAAAATTTTACAATTGTTTTCATGGTTGCTAGTAAGTTACAGTGCGAAGGTGATAAATTCATTATTTTAATAAGACAGTGTGAAGACTTTAGGCTTAAATCATCAATGAAAACATAAGAAAAAAAAAATCTGTATTGTGGTAAAGGACGCACGCCACCTCTTATCCTGGAAGAAGTTCTTTTGGAACGGATGTGTGAAACTGCGTGTGTAAAAATTTGTATATGACTTTTTTCAAATTAAATTTATATTTATAAATGCTTTATCAATATTTTTCTATTCAAGTAGCTCCCACTCAAAGGGTATATGGTTATATTTTTTATTATAATACAGTTAAATTACGTATATTAGAAATATCATGAACTAATTTCAATATATTTTAAAGTGCCAATTTAAGAGTTTCTGCTACGGATGGTGTTTAACCATAAGGTTAGTGAAATAATAATTTTATTTAGACGTCTTCCACGCACATTTGCGCCATTTGTTTATCAATATACACTGGCGTATATAAAAGCATCTGGCTCGGACGCCTTGGTCAGACGCAAGAGAACCGTAGATCAAGTATCGCATTTACACGATCGAATACTTATAAAAATGCATTATAAATTCGCGCTTGTATTCGCTGTGATGTTATTAGTGAGAGTGGAAGCCAGTCCACTGCAAAGATCATCAGCGCCTTTGGAGCGTAAGTTCACTGAAATTATAACTTAACTGTACAACATTTTTTACAAATAGCAAGCGAATTGGTGACTTTGTAATTATGCATTAAATCGTTTATTATACATATATGAATCTATGCATTGCTTTTTATGTACGAGTGAAAGAAGTACCGCACAAATATATATGTAAAGTACGTGTATTTGATAGTAAATTAATGACGAATTTTGCGAAGACTGTAGCGTGCGAGGAACTTCTTTTGTGAGAAATACACTTCCCATAGCTTAAACCTGGACTACACTAGACTATCAATAAACTAGGTTATGTAAAAAAATGACCGACATTTTCTTTAATTTAATTTAGTAAACTAGGTATTTTTGATGTTGCTGTTTATAATAACATACCTTCTAGAACTATCGATTGTATAGATATAAAGTTGATGAAAATACACAGTGAAACGCATAGTTTGTAAACAAGATAAATATAAACAATGAGCTTGAATGAAATCAGCTTTCGGTTTAGATCAAGATATTCGATATAGACTTCGAGCGATAGAGCAAATAGCGTACTTGTGCACGTTGTTTTATGATGCAATTTTCTTTTTCAAGATGCCTCAAGATTTTAGGTTACGAACTATTAGTATCTAAATGTTATTGTGAAAACTTCGTATTGTGCTCTTGAGTCTGTACATAACTATTACATACTTAAACATATATATGTATATGTATATATATATATATATATATATATCTCGTAATCTTTTCTATCTATTTATTTTAATATTCTATGTGATATATATTTAACGTGAAATTCTTAATATCAGGTTGCATTTTAAAGCGATGTAATTTGTATTTAATATTTTCAAAACAATAATTATAAGTTATTTATTAAAAATATTAAAGCTCAGCATGTGGCTCCAGATCGTGTTTTCTGGCATTACTTGAGGAATGTATATGTTCAGCGGTGGACTTATAAAGGGCTAATAATGATGATGATGAAGTACAGTTCTAAATATTACTTGAATTGCTATTGGCGTAATATTTTTCTGTTTATTTCATATGTGCAGGTTTTTTCACTACCCCACATAATATACTGTGTTTTGATTAATTGATTATTTTTTGTAGTATACATTTTTTGTAGTGTACTTTATATTTTGAATTATTAATATAGATAATATACCTAACTAATTTTAACGAATTGTCTTTTGTTAACAGAATGTTTTATATTGTACTATAAGGGAGTTATTGCAAGCAGAATAAAGTGTCAAATTCACTTTGAAATTCTACAATGACTTTTAAATCTTTAACATAAATTTCAACCAGATCCGACGATGACTGAAATTGGTTTATGTTTTTAAACACAATTCAACTATTTTGTGCCTAAATACTTCCTACATTTCCTAAAGAAGCTATATTTACTGTTAATTTTTAATTTTTCTCTACATACATAAAACCTTTTTCTATTGACATTTATGTGTTTATTCAATTTATGTTATAAACAAATCTTTGTTTGTTTGTTTAAGAACGTCGTCAAATTGGAAGTCTGCGTCTGTATTTTACGAGCGTGCCGTACATACGTAACTCGATCAGTCAAGGTTGCGTTAAAATAATCTGCTCCCGTAACACATATCGCACGACCTCTACCATTGTTTACGTTACTCCCGAACTCGTTTCGCGTGCTGCGATCGCTTTTAGTCATTAAAGTTTATTATAAAACAGGAAAATTTTAGAACACAACAGCATAATTAAAAAAAGATTTTATTTTGAAGTTATAATTCTTTTAGGGGGGTTTGGGAAAAATTATGAGAGTGAATTTTTTGTGATGCGCGCGCACACCGACACCTAAAAACGACACCATGAAGTTGTTACGATGCGCGCGCACACTGACAGCTAAAAACGACAAGTTCAGTGGGTAATTGTCTCTCAAACTTTTTTGTTTTGTTACGCTAAAGAAGTATAACTTCCTAAGTGCGTACATAAGTACATACACACTTTTTTATATCTGATTAATACGTAGATTTCATTGAATCTCAGCTCATGCTAAATACTCGGAGCTGTCTAATTTTATTATCATCTTCATCATCATTACAGCCCTTCACAAGTACACTGGTGAAGATAGGCTTCCCCCAAGTAATGACATTTTTGCATTTCTTATCAGGTTGTCATTCCATCTAGTAGGATCAGCCCCATACTTACCATTCGGTTTTCATGTGTACTTTATATTATATTTTAGGAGTTCATAATTTCTAATTAAAGTCCATAGTGGTTGATGCTTGATCGTAAGCCAATAGAGCGTGGCAAGGCTTGTTGAGTTCCCTTCGGTAACTATCTATCTGTAAAAAGAGGTATTTTTTTCTAAGAGTTTTTCATATAGATGATTGAAATTAGGTTCAATTAATGTGTAGTGTTCGTAAATATACTGGTAGTACTAAGTACTTGAACGAGGTTTTTTTTTAATTACATAAGTATGCAAAAATATGTGAATGTCGGGTTCGTTATCACTACAATTTACTTATATACGTATTTGTTGTGTTTTCATTCTCGTGTAGGCGAGGCTGTAATACGAAGTCGCTTCCCGCCGTCTGTACGCTTAGATCTTTTAATAAACTACGCAACGGGTTTTGATGAAATTTTTTTGTATGTGTTTGAATGGGTCTCACGAGCCAAATGTGCCATATATTGGCTCGTTAGGTAGCGCTGTTGTCGAGTACCCGAAATCGTCCGTGCAATGCCGAGGCGGGTCGCTAGTATGTGCATTTAATTAAGACTCTATTTACGCAGACACAACTTCTTTTTGAATAAGTTTTAGTAATAATTCTGCTAATATTATGAGCTACTATTATCAAGTCTTGGTAATCTTTTATTTTATTAAGAGTTTATAACTTGTAATTGAAATAATTTACAGCTGTACCTACGAGGCGATATGTACAGACACAGATAATCGATGTGTTTCTATCCCAAATATCTACTAATTATGTCAAGAAATTGAGTTCTCTGTACATAATCTCATAATGCTATAATCTTTTTTCTTTCTTTCAAATAAGCACAAGTACGTTTCGAGCCATGCTGCAGCTATATTAGTAGTATAGTTGTAGCACGAATGGTTCGGCTCTACCGGGGAAGGACCACGCTCTCACAGAATAGTATTGTAGAGAACCGGAGACCCATTTTACTGGAAAAGAGGCATTCCATCTTAGTCCTCACGGGTGACGATGCATCTGCATTTTGATTCTTTATTGAGGATAAATGTAGATGTCTATAGGTCATAGGTACTACTTACCATCAGGTGGACTGTGTGCTCGTTTGTCACCCTATCGTACGTAATACGATAACTGTTTTGTAGAGGTACTGCATTTTATATTTATATTTTTTCCAGTGATAAACTTAATTGCTTTGGAGGAGCCCTGTATCAGGCAAGGCGGCATGTGTCGGATGATCGAGGACTGCGACGAGGGCAACTTAGTACAAATGAGAGGCGTCCTGTGTCCAAAACAGAGGCATCTTGGCGTTGAGTGTTGCTACGTAAGTTTATTTTGTTATTTTTAACTTATTATCGTCGTCACAAAATGTGGTTTTGAGTTTAAACTATGGTTTAAGAAGAGTGTTTCTAATTAAAGAAGTTCCTAAGCCTCAGGGATCAGTATTGGCAAATTTGAAATTTTGCTGTTAAATTCCATACATATTAATTTAATTCACTTAATCCGCAGGACTTCTTTCGTGAAACATATTCTAGTTTATACATGAAACTAATTAATTATACACTATTCTTTATACATAATTATACGGCAATTTATCTTTAATTCTTTTCAACTTCTTTATCAACGCATTTCTTTCGACATACATTTTCGTTATTTTATGACAAAATAACATTTAAATTTAGATTGCTATAAAATTTAAAAATAAAGGTGGTAAAATAAAAATTTGTGCGTAGTGACTTTTTAGTATTTAACAAAATATTGACTATAACTATTTTGAAAAAAAAACATGTCATTGAACAAAAATTTACATACCGGATTTTTCACAATACGCAAATCGGTACATTCAATGTTATTTCAAACATTATTGCAGTAGCATTGCACACATGAGTTTAAAAAGCAATGGTATATTTTTATGAAAAAAGTCTGTTTTCAAAAATATTGTTTATTTTGGATATGGAAGATTATTAATTATTAATTATATATTATTAATTACACACTTTTAAAAATGGTTAAACAATTCTAAGGTAATATGGGCGTAATACAATAATATTCACAGAAAAAAAATATCGTGAGAAATGGGATGACAGAAAACCCTCAGATAAGCTTGGTACATTTTACATTAATTTAGTTAAGTCTTTGAATAATTATTTTTTATCGTGATTCAATACATCCATCCATTCCAGCCTTTAAAAGTGCTGCTTTATATGTCTCCCCCGTAGATTGTCACATAGTAGGGAAGATTTAACATAGACACGCATGGAGGGCGAGTGTATTAATCGCAGTATTTTATTACTTTGAGTTGTATTCAGGAAGACGGTGCTCAATTTCTGATAAAAATTATTACGTCGTTTCGAATATATAATTTTCGATTAATATTGAGTATTGATTGTTTTGTCGTTTAGCCTGTCTCGAGAAAGTACTTTAAATTTTTTTTTAACGTTTGTTTGTTATATAGGCATGCAGTCCACCTGATGCCTAGTGTATCCATTACCATCAAGTGGTACCTGTTGCTCAAAGACAATTACGTCCATCCGCGATTAACAATAAAAGTGTAAATTCATCAATGCCGCATTACTTGTAAAAACCACCGCCAACATGTAAGGAGCATACCCTACCAATGTGGGGCAAGTGAACCATTATCTGTTTTAAAATGGAGTTTCTGGTTCCTGGTCCAAGCCTCATAGAGGGCTGATTGACCCACAATATTAGTGTAGCTAATAAGCTCAAACATTTTTTAAATAATATTAGCAATAAGCAATAATATAAATAGCAATAAGGTTAGCAAACGAGTAGATATCTATTCTCGTTTCAGAATGCAACTACAGATGCATCTGAGCATGAAAATGGAATGCCTCATTTCCAATATAATTTAAGCGTCAGTATCCTTATGGCAGGATACGGACCGCGAACTCGAAAGGTCGTGGGTTTGAATCCGCCATGCGACTACTGTTGTGAACCACTTCTAACACAAGCATTTTAAGCTTACCAGAAGTGGTTAAAGGGAAGATTAGTAAAGTTTAATAGCATTACTAGTATTTTAAAAAAATAAAATAAAAAAGGGTCTCCAGTTCCCTATACTCACCATGCGAAATACAGCCTTTTTAAGTTGCTATTTCACGCTGGTATTCTGTGAGAGCATAGTCCTTTTCCGGTTGAGCCGACCCATTTGTGCAACAATCAAAATTTAGCTGTAGTATGTCTCTACCACGTACAAATTACGATACAATTAAGGTTGCCAAAGCTAAATATAAAAAATCTGGACTCCACGTCACACTTCATCATTATCATCATTACTGCCCATCACAAGTCCACTGCTGAACATAGGCCTGTCCCAAGTAATGCCACAAAGCACGGTCCTGAGCCACCTGCATCCATCGACTTCCTGCACGTCTTACCAGGTCGTCACTCCGTCTAGTGGCGGGATGCCTTACACCTCGTCCACCGGTACGAAGCCGCCACTCGAGAACCTCTTTTCCCCATCGATTGTCGGTTCTTCGGAGCTCTATTGCCGGCCCATTGCCACTTCAGCTTACTAATCCGTTCGGCTATGTCGGTCACTCTCGTTCTACTGCAGATATCCCCATTTCTAAGTTTATCACGTAGAGAAACCCCGAGCATAGCCGTCTCCATAGCTCGCTGAGCGCCCTTGAGCTTCCTCATACGGCCAACAGTGAAGGACCACGTCTTTGTCCCAGACGTCATCACTGGCAACACGCACTGGTTGTACAGTCTAGTTTTCAAGTTTTGAGGTATACCTGGAGAGAAGATGTGCCGTAATTTCCCGAACGCTGCCCAGCCGAGTTGAATTCGTCGATTGACCTCGTGGTCGAAGTTGGACTTACCTAGTCGGACTATTTAACATGTCACACTTACCCGCACATTTTGATCTAAAAGCCGTAATAAAACAACTCAAGCTTAGTTTTCAAGATCGATTCTTTTTTTTTTCAAAATTGTAAATACTTAACATTGAAAACTTTAGATCCAGCTCACACGGACATCTGCTAAGGCTAGATGCAACAAACATTCAATATCAATAATGATTTGTTTTTTTTACTATTGTTTCCGATTCTGACCGAGGTCGAATCCATGATCTGTGACATGACTTACCCACTATCACCCAGGGCTCACCAGCTTCTGTACTTGGAAATTAGTCTCTACCATTGATTAAATCTAATTTTATTGATTTTATCGTGCTATTTTAAACTTATTTTTAATTGCCGATTTAGATATAAATAAGTCATTTATTAATAGTCTATCTTTAAATATTGTTTGGATTTTAAAATTAAAACCTGTTTTTTGTTTCAGCTTTGAGGGCTCGAGTCTGTGACCCCGCTATTCCGCCTTTACTTATATTTTAGGATTACGAATGTAAAACTTAATGTAGTTGTAAGCAACGTTAATTCAGTGGTCAGGCGTTATTTATTTATCGAAAACATTTTCGAAAATGTTTTGTTCTACCTTATTATTTAAGTATTATTTATGTGCTGTTTAGATTCTAAGATTTGTTGGAGGTTAGTGGAAACCTATTTTAAAATAAAGAGTACTTAAACACATTGTACTTTCGTTTTATTTAATGGAAATATATGTGATATTGTTTTGCCATTATGTATTTACGATTGAAATAATTTTTAGATAAAACTAAAAAATATTACTTGTTTTTTTATTTATTTATTTATTACACAACATGATGAACAGTTTGTACAAGGGCGCTACTTATCTCATTATGAAATTTCTTCCAGTAGGCCACTTGCACTTTGTTATTATATACACATACATACATATATACATACAAGATAAAATAAATATATGTATAGTCATAATTAAATATATATAAATAATAAAAAGTATAGTAAATATCAAAAATATGGAAATTTACACAGAAGACAGAGATAAATAATGTTCTTTTACACGTTTTTTGAATAATGTCACTGTTTTGATTTCTCGAATCGTAGGAGGAAGTGAATTCCAGAGTCTTACTGCATGTACAGAGAATGAACAGGAATATGAATGAGCTTTAAAGGATGGGAATTTTAAGAGGGTTTTTAGGTGAGATCTATAAATTGCATCTGGAGATTTAAAAAAGGTGAATCGATTACGAAGGTATGAAGGGAAATTCGGACTGTGTAAGATATTAAAAAGAAGACAAAGGATACGAGTGTTCCTGCGAAATCGGATCGGGAGCCACTTGAGCTGCTTTCTGTATTTAGAGACGTGGTCAAACTTCTTGAGTCCAAAAATATACCGAATGCATAGGTTTTGCAATCGCTCAAGTTTGTTTAATTGCTCCTCTGTAGCATCCAAAAAACAGACATCAGCGTAATCTAAGATTGGCAAAATGAGAGTTTGGACAAGAGAGATTTTAGTTGATAACGGTAAAAAACTTTGAAATCGTTTTAACGAGTGAAAAGTATAATGTACTTTTCTGCTTAAGTCCGTTATATGATCACCCCATGATAACCTATTGTCAATAATTAGGCCCAAGTTCTTCGCGGATTCCGAATAAGCAATTGATGTGCCATTGATAATCACATTTGCAAGGGTGCAGTTATCAATAATACTACTATTATATCTGCTGCTTACTATTAACGCTTGAGACTTACTTGGATTTATAGATAAACCATGGGATCTTTTTGTCCTTCATCAGCTTGTACAAGTCAACTGCTAGACTGAATCTCACCTGTTGAAGAAATGATTTGCCTTTTGTCTCACTTGGCGGGCGGTTTTACAATCGTATTACGAGATATCTCGCACCTCTGAAGCAGTTCTCCGTTGCCGTCTTGATTATTTTATGCCTGAATAAAATGATGGCTATATCGCAATGTATTGAAAGCCATAAGAGCCCTTTACAGCGTCCGCAATTATTTGTAAGCCACACAAAAACTTATTCCGTGCGGGATTCGAACCCGCGGCCCTTAACACTGATACTCATTGCTAAGCCACGGAGCTATCAATATATGTATAGCCGTCAGTTAAATATTTTAAGTTGTTATTTAATACATTATATGGTAATGATATCTTAAAACGTCACCACATTGCAGGTATTTGTGTTGATTATTCTAGAGACTTTATTATTTCGCTGTAAGCCAGAGGCAGCGAGCTTCTCCAATTATTTTCTATTTTTAGAAATAAAATAAAATAAAAAAATAATTTTTTTTATAGATTAACTATATTATGTGGTGATTGGCGAAGGAAACAATTGCGAACAATTTGTTTATTATTTTGCTGGAAATATTGGACGTTATGACAAATACGAGTATATATTATAATGAACAGCACCAATTCCATCGTGGCAGCGTTTCATTCCCCAAAAATGAGTAAATGTGCATGTTATGCCTAAAATGCGAGCGAGGACGTTTTGGGACTGTTATATTCTTTTTAGTAGTACTAAAATAAATTAGATCGGACAATATATTCGAATTGGATCAGTACTGTTCAGGTAAAATTTTCATTTTTATTTCAATGAAAATTTTCTATTTTTATTTCAAGGTTTTCAAATGAAGGTATTTTTTTTCTTAAAAGTATTCCGTCAAACGAATAAAAATGAGGACAAATAACAATTGCTTGATCCTTTTGTTTTAAATGCTGGTCATTAATTTATTCCTTCTAGTTATAGACGAAACATCGTCATGCTACGCTCGTATTATGTCATTAACGTTTGTAGTGTCACATTTTCCTAAAAAGAGAAAACAAAACTTAATTTATAGGTAAAAAACATTACGTGTATTTTATTGGTTTTGCGTAATATGTTTCATAGAGCTTATTTTTCTTTTTTAGCACCTATTTCATATTTCTTACTTATGTTACTAACTAGCTGGTAGCCGGCACGTTGCAGCCGTAAAAGAAATAATTGTGTAAACATCTTTTTTTTTTAATTTGGAAGTGTTATATTGTTTAGTTAAGAATGTTAATACATTAATTGAAGTAGAATGATATGTAACTTTTAAATTTTGTCGGTACGATTAGCGCGCCACCTACTGCAAGTTAATTGTACTATGCCTATAACCTTCGCGCAAGTGCAAGCAATCAGTTGACAAAGATTTACCGCAAACCCCTGCCATACCGTTCTGATGAACGGTATGGCAGGTGTATAAAATACAAACAAACAACAATTAATTTCATATGTTAGATTGGATTATTACTTTGGATATTCCTGGATCCCGACATCAGCTCCACCTATCGGTCCAGTTGTGAAAACCTTCCAGGAACCCACAGCAATAGACACAAAAAAAAATCATCAGAATCGGTCGAGCCAGTTTCGAGTTTAGCGGGACTAACGGACAGTAAATGATTTTGAAATATTTTGAGAAGATATAAAACAAAGAAAATTACAATAGAAGTGCTGACATTATAACGTTAGAAGAGATATAAAGAATAAGATAAGATCTCCTATATGCGTGGTACAGCCATGCTGCAGCTATATTGGTAGTATAGTTCTAGCATGAATGTATCAGCTCGACTGGGGAAGGACCACGCTCTCACAGAATACCAGCATAAAATAGCAGCTTAACACTGCTGTGTTTCGTATTGTGAGTGTAGAGAACCGGAGACCTATTTTACTGGAAACGAGGCATTCCATTTTGGTCCTCACGGGTGACACCACATCTGTATTTTGATTCTTTATTGAGGAAATATGTAGATGTCTATGGGTCACAGCAACCACTTACCATCAGCTAGACTGTGTGCGCGTTTGTCACCCTATCCTATAAAAAAATAATGAAACGCTGTGTCTTTCTCAGATGAGTATCCGAACACACATAAACATACCCTTATACTTGATTATTTCTATCAAGACTTCATTTTTAAGCGCATGAGTAAACCGAACCTTTCATACTTATGTACAATGTATGTAAACTTCATCCTTTGTAAAACTAAGGAGTATGTATATTATTCCACGTATGACATTTAGTTATAATAAAAAAAAATCTGTTATTTTTCATTTATAGTATAAAAGTTACATTTTTACAAAGGTCAATAATCTTGATATATTTGTTAGTTGAGAGTAATGAAAGTCCCTAGCTCAGCTCGAAGGTATGATGATTCGGATAATAACCGTGCGAAGTTTCGGTATGGCGATCATTGAGTTATATTGAGTATATTGAGTTATATGTACTACGTACGTAGTACATATAACTCAATGATGGCGATCGATTTCATGTTAGAGACGGTACTGTAAGTTTTAACGTAGAGGCTGCTGCCCGTGGAAGAAATATTATTTCTAAATGTAATATATTTTTTAAAAACACTTTTTAAAAAAGTTTTTATAAAATAAGTTTTTGTAAACATTGTAAGGTCCTAAGTGTATATATATATATATATATATATATATATATATATATATATATATATATATATATATATATATATATATATATATAGTAGGAAGTAGAAAGTAGAAGTATGAATAACAAAGTCAAAACGTCGCAATTATCACTGCTCAAGAATAAAAATGCAAATGCATTGTAACCCCTGAGAACTTAGATGGAATGCCTTGTTATCAGTAAAATGGTTCGCCGGTTCTCTACATTCATATTCATATTCTGAGAGAGTCATTCGTACTGCATCCATAATGTGACCGTGACTTTACCACGTCTGTAGAGTATATGTAATAAATGGTGTTAGAGGAAACCTAGATTTTGTTTCTCGTGTTATATTGTAGTAGGTACTCTGTGGTAGTATGTGTGTGATAAGCTCTAACGCCTAAGCGTCTAGTCTGCCTGGGCTAATACCACTCAGCCAGACTCCTACCATAAAACTATTTCTGGCGCTAAGCAAATTGTTGCTTGCCGGCAAAAAGTATAAGTGAGTTGTAAGACATTCCATCTTAGCCATAATTAATTCATTTTCATTCATCACAGCCTATTAAAAGTCCGCTGTTGAACATAGGCCTCCCCAACAGATGGTCTTATAATTAATAGAATCAGGCGTTACTTTGCGGAAGTCCATTATATTAAAGTTGGTAAAAAATTACCTCGCATACATCCGCTCGATAAAATATAATTCAAAATTCAAAATTTTGTACAGCCGACTTCAATAAGTTATTAAGAATAACTCATATAACTCAAAAACTATTGGTCTGACCTTGATCAAATTTGTATGGGACCACACGAGAAGTAACAGCTTTCATATAAAAAAAGAATCATCGAATTCGGTTCACCCAGTAAAAAGTTATGAGGTACACATAAAAAAAAACATACGTGTCGAATTGAGTACCGTCTCCTTTTTGGAAGTCGGCAGAAAACGATGTCTTACCTAGTTTGAAGAGCACCTCCCGCCCTTCCTCAATTGCGTGCACTATCACCGTCACCACTAAT